AGTAGTAATAGTATAATATCTTTCTTAGTTATTATATTTAATTATTAATAATTTATAATAAGTTAAAGTTTACTATTTTTCTTAAGTATAAATATAATTAAATATCCTACTAAGGATTTAAAAGGTTTAATATAACCCTTCTTTAGTTAATCCCTAATTTATTTATTAAGTATTTTAAGCTTAGTAGTACTTAGGTTATAGATTTTATTAAACGTTAGGACTTTATTATTTATAAGTTTAATTTTATAATCCTATTAGCTATATTTTACTAGTTTAGTATTTAGTTTTTTATTAAAGACTAGTATATACTAAAAGTTTATTAATATATTTTTTAAATATTTTAGTATTTATTAATCTTAGTAATATAATTCTTTAACCTTTTATATAATTAAGTTTAAAAATCTAAGCTATTTCTTTTTAGGTTTTTTAATATATTTAACTATTTTTAGAAGCTTCTTTAGCTCTTGAAATTATATTTATTTTATAACTTTTTTTTTCTATATATTTTTATATTTTTTTATTTAATATAAGGGTTACTAATTCTATTATTAAGGATATTATAGTATTTTATTAATCCTTTTAATCTAGTTATAGTATATCTTTAAAATTAATTAGTTTAAGGTAAGTTTACTATTTTACCTAGCCTTTAACTTAATTAATATTAGGGTTATGTAACTTAAGCTAATTGTATTTTAAAAGTATATTATATTCTATAATATTTATAATATTAAAACTAAAGGTATTTTTAATTTTACTAAATTAAATTATAAAGTAATTAGTTTTACAGTTAATAGTTCTATTATTATAAATAAATTATTATTTCTTAATGCTTATAAAGGTATATAGTTTCTCCTTTTTATAGTTATTTAATTATAAGTAATTAATTAGTTAAGGTGTAATATAACTTATTATAGCTCCAGAGTTTATGTAAATTATAATTAAATATCTTTTTAAGGTACCTAATACTTAGAATTTTTATAGTTTTTTTTTTTTTATAAAGGTATTTAAGTTATAATAGATTATATTATTAGCGCTATTATAATAATTATTACTATAAGGGTTAATATTAATATTATTTAGGTTTAAGGTAATTTATCTTAGTTTTTTATTTTAAATATTATAACGTTTACACTAGGTATATTTAAGCTTAGGTATATATTTAGTAGTAAGCTTATAATATTTCTAAAGGTTATTTTAGCTAATTCCTTATAGTTTATTATTATTACTATACTTTATAAAGTTAAATCCTTACTATTCTAGGTTATAGGTAATATATACAAAGACTTAATATTAATACTAGTATTCTTTATAATAATCTTTATTATAAAGTATAAATTCTTTTTATTTATATTTTATAGCTTTATAATCCTTATACTATTCCTAAAGTTTAATTATAATATATTATTTATATAATAATAACTTATAATTAATAATATTAGCTTTATTATATTAGTCTATAAGTAGGATATCGTTAATATAATATAGGATTAATTTTAATATTTTAGTTATTAAGTATTTATCTACGTTAGTTTTAATATATTATTAAAACTAATTTCTAAGTAATTAAATTTAGTTATAGGTAGTACTTAGATTAATTTATTTAATCTATCTTTATTATTTAAGGAGTCTTTATTAATCCTTAAGTTTTTTATATTATATAATTTTATTATAGCGTTAGTTTTCTTTAATAATACCTTAGATTTGTTTGTTTGTTTATTTGTTTTATTATTAACGTCCACTAAGTAATCTAGTTACATAAGTCCTTATCTGGGCACTAGGATAGTAGGAGCCGCCGAGTTTAGATTAGGCGTTCGCTACGTTTTAATGTAACAAAGGAAAAGGGGATATGTCAATCTGTTTTACATATCTATTTCTGTAGGGGGGGGGCCGTATGGGCTTATGTCCTCTACTAGTTTCTAAAAGTCCTTATATCCTCCGTCACCGAGGAGGTATTGGATATAGGTGGTTCTAAAGCGCGCCTCCCTCTCCGGTACGTCGGGGAGGAAAGGGGCTACTATGTAGTACTTTACGAAGTGTCCTTATATCCTTAGTTTCCCATATTTGCAGGTAGGCCTAGCGTTATATCCGAATCTCTCGTGGTATTCTATGAAGTCCCCGTATCCAGTCCTTTCGGCTAGCAGCCTATGTAGGATTAGGCGTAGGAGGTATAGTTCCGGGGGTATAGAGGGGGCTTTATAAAGGCCCCATCTACCGGCCTTGTAGGACTCTGGGTAGTTGCTCTCTTAGTCGGCGTCTTGTATTTCCCTACGTTTCTTTTTCACCTACCTTTTAATAAAGGTAATAGTGGAGTAGTTTCTTAAGAGGTAAGGGAGTTTTAAACCCTCCTTTGCCAGTCGGTCGGCTTCTTCGTTTCCTAGTACATCTTTATAGCCTAGGACCCAGGCCACCCTCGTAGTTACCTATAGGAGTAGTTTCTAGGCGATTTAGCGTAGCCCTATATAGGCTCCTTAGGATAAGGCGGGAGTTAGCCCTAGTATTCCATCTACTACCGCTAAGTTATCTAGGAAGAGCTGAATCTCTTAGATATCTAGGTTTACAAAGGTACGCATTCTAGCTAACTTTATAGCTTTAAAGGCGCCTACCGCCTTAGCGTCATAGACCTCCGCGTTAGCGAGGGGACCGCATATTATAGTTCTTTTAAAGTTATAGTATATAACAGCTCCCTAGCCTATATTACCTTGTTTATCTTATAAGCCGTCTAAGTAAGTAAGGAGGGTAGACCTAAGGAGGCCGTTAAGTAGTTCTAGGTGTTTTTCCGCTGCCTCTAACTTCAGTAGGCCTCTAAAGTCCAAGCTTACTCAAACCACTCCGTTATTCTTAGCAAAAAAAGAGGGTTAAACTATTTTCCCTACTAGGGCTACAGTATATTACAGTTAAGTAGGGGGAACCCTAGGCGGGAGTTTCTTATTAATACGTCTGCTAACCAGGTAGTTCCTGTCTAGGCCCGTAAAGCAAGCTGCTGTGCGGAGTTTAGTCTATGCTACCTATACTAATACTAGGGGGACTCTTGATTTTCTGTGTATAACGAAGAGGTTGGTCGTCTTCTACACGGGGACGACTGCTCTGGCTGCCGCTTTAAATAGGGGTTCCAGGATTACGGTTAATCCCGCCGAGCCTGTTTTTACTTATCTGTTTAGGTTCGTTGCGCTCTGTCTGCTCTCACTGGGCCAAAACGCCTCCGTCCCGTATAGGGCTACAGGGGTAACGCAGGCCTTAGCTGCTATGGCTACTGCGTCTGGCGGGGATCCTTTTTATATCTTATTCAGGGATCTTAAGAAGTTAGCTGCTTTAAGGGCTTTCCCCTTTATAATCCTAAGGTGTTTTTTAAAGGAAAGCCGTAAGTTTAGGTATATCCCTAGCCAACGGACCAAGTCCTAGGGGGCTATAGTCTTTCCTCTAAAGTCTACTCCCTCGTCGTATATTTAGGTTCTAGTTCTATAGAAGTATATAAGTTCAGCCTTATCTAAGTTAAAGGAGACTGCATTCCTATTACCTTAGTTTAGGGTATCTTTTAATTCCTACTGGAGCTTCTAGGCAGTTTCTTTAGTATTAGCCCCTACTACTATAATACTAATATTATCTATATATCTAAAGCAGGTATTAGGGTTATTAAGCTTTAGGTTAGGGGAGAAATAGAGTATAAAGACGATAGGGGAGATAGGGGACCCCTGTGGGGCTTTATATTCCAGCTCTATCTCCAGAAGGGTAGTCCTATAGCTGTTCTAAATAAAAGCCTTATGGTTACTTATAAAGGAGTCAACCTATCTTACAAAAAGGGGGGGCCACCCTTATTCCCTAAGTCTATAAACTAGGCAGTTGCGTATAACAATGTCAAATACACCGGAGATGTTAAGTATAAGGAGGGAGACGACGAGACCTTAGGCTAGGGCAACTTCGGCGTTATATAGCAGGCAGGCAACTAGGTCTAACGCAGACCTTTTTAGGAGAGCCCTGAAATATTATTCTAGCAGTATTTTATATTCTATTGCCAGGAGGGAAACTCTTCTAGCTAGGAGTTTCTTAAGGCCTTTGCCTATATAGGAGAGCAGGGAGATAGGTCTATAACCTTTATACATAGTATATACCTTCTCCAGCTTCCCAGGTTTAGGGATAATAGTAATCTCCGCGCTCCGGAAGGGGAGTAGGTAGTATTCTATTATTAAATATCTACAGAAAAGGTTAGTTACATACTTACCAATAGTAGGCTAGGTAAGCTATAGAAGGGCAACTAATATACCATCTGCATCAGGCGCAGTATTTCCTAACCCTATTATAGCTTTTTTAGCCTCTAACTCTAATACTATTTAGTCTTAGTAAATATTATTATTAATGGGAAAGTCCTCTTCCTATGGGTCTAAGATATCCTCCTCTGTTGTCTTACGCTTAAGAAGCTTATCTCTAAGGAAAGTTACTCTCTCCGTAGGGTCTAAGATACTTTTATCCCCGTTTATTAGGGGGGGCGGTTAAAAGCAGTCTATCGCCTTACACCACTTAGCCACTAACTAAATATTCCTAGTAGCGCTAGCTTCCGCTATAATCTCGTCCTAGTAGGCTCGCTTACTGCAGTATATAAAGTCTCTAAGGGTCTTACGGGCTCCCTTTTAGGCAGGGGAGCCGTCTACTGCTTTTTTATAAGCTTTATAGGCTACTTTGCACTTTTCCAACTACTATAGTGCACTATAGCCGTTCTAGTATCTAGTCTTACCAGCCCCCTCTATAGCTTATTTAAAGAGGTCCTGCAGGGCCTTAGCGTATTTATTAAGGTTAGTTTCTAATGGTATAGTTAGGTCGACCGTAGGGAGGGTCTAAGCAAAGGAGCGCATAAGTTAGCCGAAGTCTTCCCAGCATTCCAACAGAATGTATTTTTTCCCTGCCCCCGGGGTTATCCTAAGGGGCTCGGGTAGGTTTATAATTACTATATAGTAGTCTAACCCTATATTAAAGAAGTATTTAACCCTAGTTAACGTAGGGTAGTTTATAAAAACTAGGTTAATGCATTTTCCCAAGTATTAGGTAAGTGTATTTATTAAAGCTAAGAGGAGATTATATTTCTCCGCCTATTCTGCGATTTTATTACCTACTAGGTCCGCGCCCCTACCCAGTTCCCAAAGTTAGTATAAGGTATTAAAGTCGCCTGTAATAATTAAGCGGGGGGGGGGAGGGCCCTATTTAATAAAGGTCTTTATAGTAAAGTCTGCCGAAGCCCTTTAGTAGACGTTAACGATAGTATAACCATATACCTCTATTTAATATACGTATCCGTCCTCTAGGCCTAGGGGAGAGAGTTATTTACTAGGGAGGTTTAGAGAGATTTTAATAAATATAAGAACTAAGGGTCTAGCGTCCCTCTAACTATTTAGGGGGTTATATACTTAATATCCAGGGTGATTCTTAGTTTACCTTCTATTTAATACCCTGTCCCATTAGGCATAAGGTTCCTAGATTATTATAATATTATAGCTACCTTCTTATACTAGCGATAGGGTAATGTCCTAGTATAGACTGCTCCTCCTAACGTTAGCTTGGAAGATTTTAAGGCCAGTGTTTCTTCGGCGGCTGCAACGGGGCCTGTTATTTATAGGCTTGCGTTAGGAGGTCCGTTAGTTCTAGGGGGGGCGTTAAGCATATTTTTGTCACCTTTAGCTTCTTCCTTTTTATTATCTAGGCCGGCTACGTAGACTGCCGACCTAGTAGGGGAGGTTCCCTCGTAGGGATCTTCCTCGTCTAAGTTAACTTTAACAATAACCTTTTTAGCCAGAGCCTAAGGGGGGAAGGGTAGAGCCGAGCTAGAGATTAGCAGCCTTATGCAGGGGCCCGTTTAAGTCTCCGGGTTAAACGTTTTCTTAACATTAGGGGCGGGGACAGGGGCAAGTTTAGGTTTAAGTAGGTTAGCTTTATTATATTCCTACTAGCCTAATTCCTAAATTACCTAGAGTTAAGCTTTAGTTATTTATACTTTTTCCCCGTTCCTAACAACCAGTCTAGCGGGGTACTTTAGGGAGTCCGCTATATAAGGGCCATTATAGTTAGTATACTAGGGCGGGGATAAGCAGTTGGCTATAGTATTATTATATTTAAAAGACAGTTTACTATATTTATAATACCTTTTAGTCCTAGTGTAATTCCGTAGGTTATAGAATCTAAAGTACCGCAGGCACTGGGTAACCCAAGGGGGCTGGACCCGGATTTCCGCCGGGAGGGAGCTGCTGAAGAGTTTAAAGCCGGGTTTAACATCCTTATTAAAAAAGATAAAGTAGCTACACATATCAAAGGATTCTCCGAAGTTAGCTTTACAACAGGAGACAGGTAGGCTTTTAGCCCCTGCCCTAGCGTATACCTCCTCTAGGATTAGCGCATCTGTGGGGTAGGTCCCGCTTATATCAGTGTACGTCTTTAATATACCGTATATAAGAAAAACCTTCCACGAATATACTTCTTTAATTTTTAGACTATTATTCTCTGCTACCAGCTGGAGTATAATAATTTTGTTTTTAATGTCTTAATTCTTACCTCTGAGGGCAAAGCCTAATTAGACCTCTTAGAAGTAAGTGATATCCTCGTTTATAAGCTTCGAGATCCTAATTAGTTCTTATCTAGCCCCGATGGCTAATAGCTTTCTCTATACGTAATCTAGGGGGACTTAGATAAAGATGTAGTTATTAAGGCTTTCCTTAGGTTTATTAGTTTTATCTATATTCTTTCCGTTATTAGCGGGGGCCGGCCCCCTGCTGCCTATAGAGGAATACTTTAGGTTATTAGTTCCCTTCTAAGGGTTTTTATTATAAGTATTTTCTCATAATACAATCTATGCCCACGTAACCTTAAGGTCCCTCTAGCCCGCTTTTCCAATAGGCGCAGGGGCTCCCGCTATAGTAAGGTTCCTAGTGGCATCTAATTTATCCTTCTTATTATAAAATACATTAGCTAACGTTATTTCAGTTAGTTAGGCAGCTCTTTCTTTACTACCTAATTTCTTAGGGTTTTTAGGCCTCCCCTTAGGGTTAATGTAGGAGGCAACGAAGTTTTCAAACGCGGTATTCAGGCATAAGCGGACCTGTTCTACCACCGCTAAGGAGAGCTGGGAGGTGTATTACGCCAGGCAGAAGTCGATAGCTATAGCTATGTTTAATACTACGTCTTATCTAGCCCGTTGTTATACGTTAATTTCGTTAATTTAGTTTATGATTTTATTCCTAGTGAGGGATTTCCCCTCTTTGCTTAGGTCGGTGGCTTCCTTTGCACCGTTGGAGATAGAGGTAATAAGGCCTCTCGAGGCTGTCTGCGCCGCGGTCGCCGTCGCCGCTGCGCTCGGTCTTGCTCTGTTGAAGCTGGGCGAGGGCATTTTATCCGCGCCGAGGGCTTCTCCAAAGCGTCTTTTCTTCTTAGGGGTNAAGGGGAGGACCGTAACCTCTCCCGTTTTTGGGCCTAAGGGGGTCACCTCCTTCAGAGGTTGGAAGGCTATCGCTGGTCCAGGGGCGACGGGTTTCATTCTGTTCTAGTTATCTAGAGGGTTTGCAGATGTTTCCATCTCTCCAAAGTCCCCAGATAGGACCGTAAATAAAAAAATCGTAGTCGTTTTGTCTAATAGCTAGTTAAACGGGTGGGAGTTTTTGGTAGTTAGGCACCCAAAAGGTAGGGTACCTGTAGGTGTAGGAGGGAAGCTTGATACCTTAGATTTTATATTAATCCTTATATTATTTTTAATTAGCGGTAGTTATTTTACAGGGGTAGTAAATACCTTTAGGTTTTATTAACCTATATTAATTATATATATATTTCTTAAGGTTATTAATTTCTTCCTATGTTAATTCTTTAAGAGGATTTACTTATGTAGGGCTTGCTGGTGGAGTAGTATTTAGGAGGCTATTGTAGTTTTTGTTTATTTTAAAGTTGTATATATAATAACTATTATTAAAAGGTTTATAGGATTTATAAAGCTTATATAGCTTATTTATAAATGGTTTATAGTCCTTATATTACGTAAAAGGGTATATATTTAGAAGAGTATTAATCTACTGTTAATGTTTTTTATTAGTTTTATAAAAACTAAAGTTATAGATTCTTCTACTATTATCGTAGGTAATATTATCTTTACTATTATCTTCCTTATCTAAGAGTTCTTATTTTTAAAGTATCTTTTTCTTATCCTTAGATTTATTATTTTATTTTTATTCGTTAAGGCTTTATTAAATAAGTTATTTAATATAGCTAAGGCTTTCTTAGGTAACTTCTTTAAGTATATTTAAGGTTTAGGTATACCCCTTAGGGTACTATCTAAAGCCTTATTTATTACTATAATATATTTAGTAATCATTATTATAGTATATTAAAAAGTGTAATATATTATAGTCTCCTAAGGGTCTTATAGTATTAATAGCTTAGTTTTCTTTAGGTTTTAGGATAAATATAAACTTTTTATTACTATTTTTCTTAAGTACTTAGTAATATTTTTTTATATATTTTTTCTTCTTATAATTATAATATTTAATGTTTTTTTATTATACCTTAATAATACTAAGGTTTATTAATCTTAGTTATTTATTATTAAAAGAAGTAATATAATTATTTTACTTTTTTCCTTAGTTAGCTTAGTATTCTTAAGTTTACTTAGGTTAAATATTATAAAAGTTCCTAGTTTTTTCTTACTTTTACTCCTTTTATTATTTTTAATTATAATTATTAATCTTAATAGCTTTTTAAGTATAGTTAATAAAGGTTATTTTTTTATAATTAATTTTAAAAAGTTTATCTTTAACTTTAGGTTTTACATTATTATAGTAAACTTCCTTTTTTATTTCTTTAGTTTAATTAACTTTAGTTAATAAGTATAAGAAAGTTAAAGTATATTTACTTAGTAATCCTTTTTAAGTAATAAAACGAAGTTCTTACTTAGCCTTTCGTTATTTATTTATAGTACTAAAGAACTTCCTAAATTACTTCTGAAATTTTATATACTTAATATAAATTTCTTTAGTTTACGTTTTAAGCTTCTTTAAGTTAATTTTTCCTTCTTTATAATTCTATATAATAGGTTAAAACTATATTTTAGCGTCTTTTATAAAGCAGCTGCCTACGAAAATAACTTTATTTTTATTATTTTTTAAAATATAAGGGAAATATCTAAAATAGGTTATAAATTTTAAAAAAAACTTATTTATCTTACGTAGATCTTTATTAAAGGGTTTAGGCTTTATTAATTTAAAAACCTTACCTTTCTTTTTTTTCCTATTTTAGAAGTCCTAAAGCTAGGTGTCACGACCTAACTCTTAAGGTCGCAACAAAGGGCCAACAGGTTAGCCGGAACTAGATTAACTATAGGCCGACAGACTAATCAGGACCGTTAGTATTCCCTGATAGGAAAGCTAGGAAAGCTAGCTTTCTAAATAACCTACCATAGGAAAGCTAGGAAAACCAGCTTTCCAACATAATTTAGAATATACAACTGGATGTATAAGTCCACTTTATATTACTTATTAAAATACTTAAATAGCCAGTTATTATTATAGCGTTTATAATATAATTAAATTAGAATATAAACATCTACTTTTATTTATATTACTAGCTAGTAATAAAATTGCCCATTACCGACTTAATTACTTTGCTAATATAAACTATAGAACCACTCTAAGGTTTATCCCTTAGAAACAGCTAACCTATAGTACCTATAGGACCTAGTTTATTATATAATAATAACTTTTATTTAAACAGTTACCTTAGACCTATAGGTAATAAAATATAATAATTAACTAAATATAGGATATTAACTTTAATAAAACTTACGAAGACCTTACTATAGTATAGTAAGAAAATACTGCTTTAGTAAGATTTATAAACTTAAAAACTTTTATATAATAATAAGCTGCTATTATATAAAAGCTTATAGAATAACTTTAAATACTATAAAGATAACTACTAGTAG